CTAATTCTATGTCTTTATAGAACTTTTAACGAGTAGAGTGGTGGTATGTGCTGCATTTCTCATAATAAAATTATTGTTGATTTACTTAAATATTTCTAGAAAATGGATTTTTGAAAAATCTTTCAAAAAGTAGTGAATATTAGTGAATGAGAAGTTAATTGAAAAAAATCTTTAACAGAGTGGCGTTGAAAGACCGAGTTTTTTTATCGAAGATACATAGAAAACTTTTCAGTGATATTCGCGTAATTTCTATAAGTTTGCTGTTCACACAAAAAATTCGTAGCAGCAATACAGAATATAAAGTGCCTATAATGCTTACAATTTAATTGCTAAAGTTCTCACTATTGAAGTATTCACGCTGTCTCCAAAATCTATCGCTGTCAAATAAAGAAAACAAGAAAAACGATCGACTTATTTTTGACTTGATTTTCGCATTTAACCTGATTCTTCTGCAGGAAAAGTAATTTTTTAATTTTTCTTCCTTTTCTCACCACGCAGTCCAACGGCAGTCAAACTCGGACACGGTTAAGTCGATTCTCCCGGTTTTTCAAATTTCAGAAGTCCTTTCATTGACCAATTTGTTCCTTTTTTGCTTACTTCCACTACTCTACTGCTACTTCTTCCCCACCATTATAAGGCAATGTTTAATCAAAACGCTATGCATTAAGAAATAGCAGGTATAATTTCCTAAATATATATATATTAGTAGCAGTAAACCACTCGGCCGGTTTGCATTCTCATTATCGAGCGAGCAGTATATAGAACTTGTACCTTATATTATTTGTTCTCGTAAACGAAGGTCCGTTACGATTTCATAGTGTACTCGATAGCGTTATTTTGTTATACCCACATCGACGATATCACAAATCTTCCGTTGCGAATATAACGAACGGTCCTATCGTTTTTATCTCTTGTAGCGTACGATAGTTCGATAACGGACCCTTGGTTAGAATTACAACTCAGTCAGAGAAAATTTGTGACTGACATATTTAGCCTTATTCTTCAATAGTTTGCCTTTAAACTTTTATGTTCTTCTTGGGTAAATGAACTATTACACTTTGGTTTGTCGGCTTCGTTATGCATCGGAAGGTCCACAGGTTATATAAAATTTAGGGGGGCGATTCTAGCTAAATAGTAATATTAATGAACATGTGGATGTGAAATTTAACCAAAGTTGCAAAGTAATTAATGCGGCCCTTACAAATTAAACGAATTTTCTGCCTTTGTGAAAGACGTGTTATTTACTGTTTGTTATATGAACATAATAGAACAGTTCTACCGACCAATACAATATTTTCAACATTTTCAGGAGCTTTTTTTGTATTCGCGTCGTCATCCGTGTTCAGAATAATGTCAAATAATTTTCTTGAGTCAATTTTATGTGATTTTAAAAGTTTCATCAAACGCTAAAGAAATAAAAAAATAGATGGACAAAATTACCACACTTCCAACGCAAAGCTTATTGTTACCATGTCTTGAAGATTTTACTTTTTCTCTTGCTTGGCAAACGTTTAACGAAACGATTTTCAGTGCAGAGCTTCTTTTTTCAGTATTTATGTTGACAAGTTTGCTGTCAAAAATGGACGTTAAAGCCGCCGCAAACTATCTTTTGAAATCTCTTTTCGATGAACCAATAACATTTTTGGTTTATCGGTATCGAACATGTTTAGGAAATATTAATATTAATGAAAAATAAAATTAGTAGCACGTCTTGGTTTGATGATTTCATTATCCTTTTTTTTCGATATATCTCTGCATGTTAACTTAACTTGCTTCGTCTTAGATCATCGTGAGGATCATTGAAAGTTGCTGATATCATAGCGACTCCGCAAAAAAATTCGATGGCGATCTGGCTATCAATGTAACGTGCAATTCTGTAGGGTCCTTTACTCGCTAATATATATAAGTTTGAAAAAGGACGTCATTATTAAATAATTTTCTTTTCATTTAAGGTAAAAGTAATTAGTAATCATTTATTTTTTTTACTTCTTACAGTGAATTGGCGTAGGATTTTTTTTCCAACAATGTTCGATACGTAGTATTCCATCTTATTTGCAGTTTCTTGTTTTTTCACTCGAATAATTTGCGGTTCACAGCTATGCTAAGATATATTTCATAGAAGAGTGGCATTGAAAACCAATCAAAACGATATTTAACGCTATAAAACGATATTTAAAAATATACATAAATGTATCATGTTAGAAAAACGAACGTAATACTCTACGCTAATTTGCAAAGCCGTCGGTAAAAGTCCCCAAACTAAATTTGTCTTTTGAAAATTAGTGTCGTAAATTTGTTAAATAAGACATTAAATCCATATGTAATTCTGTGGGAAACGGGTAACCGAGTATGCGTTTTAGTAACCATTAAATTAACACAAAATGCAAAGTGAAAAAGAAGAAGATTGTACGTACGTAAAGAAAGCAAGTCACTGAACATTAGCAATAAAGTTTTTTTTTTTTAAAGAACTCTTAAAAGATAAAAGAAACATCAGCATTTTTTGCAGTTTTATATTTTATACAATTAAAGTAGAAATTAATTAAACTAGGTTTAAATTGTTACAATTTTAAGAAAAAAATTAAAACAGGTACCGTATTAACGTAAAGTATTCGGAAAGTGGATAGTGGAGAAGTAGTAGACGTGAAAAAATCCTTGAGATTGTTTGAGTTGTAAAATTGTTGTCGTAAACCTACGTTATATTGATAAGGGACGGAAGGTGTGAAAAGGTTGTGACGATATTTTGAAAGAATATATTTACGCAGATAACAATTTTTGTTTTTGTATTTAGTGTTGTGTAAAAAGAAAGCCAGGTGACATAAAGTGGCAAGTGATTTGTTGTTTTAACAATTTTCGCTAAAAAAACAATTGAAATTTTTATTGAAAAACAAAAAAAAAAAAGAAAAAACGAATGCGCAATTCTTAAATATCTAAATGTTAAATGCTCAATAGTAAAAATGTGATTTTAGTCTTTAGTTTAGTCCCTTTACCAAATAATACCAAATAATGGATGTACACAGATGACGACAACAAAAAGAGCAACGTTTGCGGCGACGCTATTCGTTCGGTTATGCCACAGTAATGTAGGGCGGGAAGAAGTGTAGACATTGGTCGACGCTTTCTGCTTAATATGTAAATCTGTGTGTAAATGTGTGTGCATATTTTAAAGTTACACGTGTTCTTTTCGAGAAATATATATATGCATGTCATTTAATTATTACAAAGCGATTTTCAATATGATTAATAGGTTAATTTGCTCAAAGATTTGCGGGTTCCTCTTTGCGAAATGAGATTTTTTTAGAAAAAATTGTTTATAGATTGAAAGGAAAATACATTGTAGATTAGTCAGTAAAACTCTTTTGTGTTTTCTATTCGCTCAGCTGATTAGTAGATTGGTTTCAATGTTATTTTTAACGCATGGTTAGTTAAGACAGATTTAAAATTAAAAATGGAATTAAAAGCTGAAAATGGCTGAAGTGTTAATAAAGATCATTCCGTTAAGAGCACTTGTCAAGCACTTATAAAGCCCTTCATAGCTCGGTCATTAGCATTCCACGATAATTTATTGATGATAATGACGTGTTACTTACTACAATTCGAAGGTTCACAAACACGCCGAAGTCCGTTTTCAGACTTTCTAAGAACGTCGCCGCACAAGCTCAAGTAACTGTTCGCACAGATGTTTTCCTTCTAAACGCATTTACCTGAATTACCCATTAGATCCACTACCTTTGTTCGTCTACGATTTTCGACTCGTTTTATGTTAGACTTGAGCTTAGTTTGAATGTCGCAATTGGCACACACACACACAACGGTTATTTGTAGACGTAGCACAAGTTTACATGTTCGATATATGTATTTATATTATCGCTCATTAACCTTTGGTTTATTTTAATGAAATTCGTTCTTTTCGTTCCTTTTTTGCTTGCTTTTCTCTTAAACAACTAAAAATATTAGACCAAAAAGTTTCAAATGTATGAGGAGGAATAGTTCAAGCTTTTTGCTTGCTATAAACAAGGAGCCAACGTTCGCGCTAGAGATAATTATTTCCCTTTCTTATTTAGCTAACGTAGGCAATTCCAGCCGATGCAATAATATTTTACTAACTAAACAATTTTTTAAAGAGAAACAAATTTTTTATTTATTATATAGGTATTTGCTGCCAAAAAAGTACCGCGAATAGTCTATGCAAAAATCCAACTTAGTCAGTTCTGCTTTTTTTCTTTAAATAAAAATAAATTGCTACAGATCTGTCTTTTGCGCTTAAGTCAAAAATGCGGGCATATACGCAAGCCCTACAAAGCGCTCATCGAGGACATTTTGCGTTGTCCTTTCCCGCTGCCAAAGTGAGGAAAAATCAGAACAGTAGTCTTGCTCAAATACATAATATGCTCCATGAATCCCTTCGCACCATTTTTGGTAATGTTTTGTGTCGTCATTTTCCCAAGAGATTAAAATTTTCTTCATTCTTGCGCAGGAGTTTCTGGCCATGATTCATTTTTTCGAAATATAAAATGCGTGAGAGACGATTTGATTTGAGGGTAGATGGTCTCAATGAAAATTGAAAGAAAGAACTCGAGATGTTCTTGGGATCTGCTTCGTTTATCTGGTTAAGTTTTCAAAAATATTTAACTTCATGTATTCCCGTTACTTTTTTGATAAAACATACATAGTCAGTAATTTCATGAAACATTTAAGTACATTTTTATCTTGCACTTTCCACACTATCAAGTGGAGTAAGCATATTCAGATATTCATCGGCACTGTTCAAAAAACTGCTTTATTATAAAACAAATCGAATAATTACGGTATGAAACACCAGCGCTTCAATGAAAACTTCCTAAGACTTAGGCAAAATGCTCTAAATAAAACCCACCGTGTTAAAGGGCGATTTTGGAAAGTTTAATATACGATTAAAGACTAATCAAGGTTTTCTATATATAATATTTATTTCTTTTCGTCTATGCTTGCAGATTACGTTGAGTGCTTCTCACCGGTAAGCAATGGAGGACGGTCATGCTAAAACCGTCGAACAAGTTCTGCAATTCTTCGGCACAGACGGAGAACGTGGTCTTACTGTCGACCAAGTGAAATCAAATCAAAAAAAATATGGCCCAAATGGTAAAGAATTTTTGAAAGATATATTTATTGACATTTACTAATACAATACATTTCGTTTGTATTCCATTTCGATTTTACAGAACTACCCACCGAAGAAGGTTAGTTATTATTTTTGATTGTCTTTTTAATATTAAAGCTTCGCATAAATTATACTCTTATCCTTAATTATAGGAAAAACCATTTGGCAGCTGGTGTTAGAACAATTTGATGATCTTCTTGTTAAAATTTTGCTTCTAGCTGCTATTATCTCTTTTGTAAGTTATGTTTTTAATATTTCTCCAATTTATCACTAAAAGCCACTCTAAACATTGCTTCCTTGTGTTATTTCGTAGTAGAAACGCTTTAGTTCCTATCGAAATTGGAGCTTGTTTACCATGCGAAGCTTTCTGTCCGATTTTATGTGGTCGCCAAAAGTTATAGCGTTATTGGTTATAGCCCAAGAGTATAAAACTTCGGCTCTGGTATTTTTGATGAGGCGTTTTGAAATTAAAAATTGCGTTTTTCCGCTTTATATAAAATATGGTTTATTTTTGCAGAAGCAAAAGCATTTTGTTTTAGGATGGAATTATACATAATACCAACTAACTCCCACTCATAGCGGCACATAAGCTTAGAATAGATTTTTTATTTGTATTAGCACAATGGAAAAGTGCTATGCGAACGGAGAAGCATGTGCAAAATATTGCCTATGTTTGTTAGATCTCCCAGCTATGATAACTTGCTAGTTGCTAGGTCTCAATAACAGGAACACTTTTGAGTTTCGTACGTACCTGCGATTTTAAACCGGAAACAGCGGATGTCCAAAGGGAAGAGTACGACGAATTTAGCCAACTCAGCCTGGGACCTAACATTGATACAAGAGACGCATGTGGGTCTGTCTGTGATGCGTATTTTTGAGTATTAGAAAGACAATGGCAAACAACAAGGGTTTGTTCATTTTAAAACGGAGAAGAGAACTAACTGATGGGATAAAAAATAACTTAAAGAAGTTGTAGAAACCTCGGAAACTTTCTTAATGACTGATCTACTGCCAATTCCAATGGTCAGAAGTCTCAAATTTGCTAACTCTTTTTAGGCGAGAAATACTCGGGAAGCCGTTTTATTCTTTCCCACATAACGTCCTAATATTGTACAATGGTCAATAATGTGCTGTCTTTTGAATTTTTTAGGTCTTAGCACTTTTTGAGGAACACGAAGATACGTTCACTGCATTTGTAGAACCGTTAGTTATTTTACTTATTTTAATAGCGAATGCTGTGGTGGGTGTGTGGCAAGAGAGAAATGCCGAATCCGCTATCGAGGCTCTTAAAGAGTATGAACCGGAGATGGGTAAAGTTGTCCGTCAGGACAAATCGGGCATTCAGAAAATTAGAGCGAAGGAAATCGTACCCGGCGACATTGTTGAGGTGTCGGTCGGTGACAAAATTCCGGCCGACATTCGCATCACTCAAATTTTCTCCACTACCCTGCGCATAGATCAGTCAATTCTGACTGGTGAATCGGTGTCCGTTATAAAACACACTGATCCTGTGCCCGATCCCCGCGCTGTTAATCAAGACAAAAAGAACATTTTGTTTTCTGGTACAAATGTCGCTGCTGGCAAAGCTCGTGGAGTTGTCATTGGCACTGGTCTTAATACTGCCATTGGTAAGATCAGAACCGAAATGTCCGAAACTGAAGAAATAAAAACACCCTTGCAACAGAAATTGGATGAATTCGGCGAACAATTGTCAAAAGTTATTTCCATCATTTGCGTTGCTGTCTGGGCCATAAACATTGGCCACTTTAACGATCCCGCTCACGGCGGTTCTTGGATTAAAGGTGCCATCTACTATTTCAAGATTGCCGTCGCTTTGGCTGTAGCCGCTATTCCCGAAGGTTTGCCTGCCGTTATTACAACATGTCTGGCTTTGGGCACTCGCCGTATGGCCAAAAAGAATGCCATTGTACGCTCTTTGCCGTCTGTAGAAACATTAGGTTGTACCTCTGTGATTTGTTCAGATAAGACCGGCACTTTGACCACCAATCAAATGTCAGTTTCACGTATGTTCGTTTTTGAAAAAGTTGAAGGCAACGACAGCAGTTTCTTGGAATTTGAATTAACTGGTTCTACTTACGAACCAATTGGTGAACTTTTCTTAAATGGACAAAGAGTGAAAGCTTCTGAATATGATGTTATGCAAGAATTATCTACAATTTGCATTATGTGTAATGACTCCGCCATCGATTTTAACGAGTTCAAACAAGCTTTTGAAAAGGTAGGCGAAGCAACTGAAACCGCTTTGATTGTATTGGCAGAGAAATTGAATCCCTTCAGTGTTAACAAGAGCGGTTTGGATCGTCGTTCGTCCGCTATTGCTGTTCGCCAGGAAATTGAAACTAAGTGGAAGAAGGAATTCACCTTGGAATTTTCGCGCGATCGTAAATCCATGTCTTCCTATTGCACTCCACTTAAGGCTTCTCGTTTGGGAACTGGACCTAAATTATTTGTTAAGGGTGCTCCCGAAGGTGTTTTGGAACGTTGCACACATGCACGCGTCGGTACTTCTAAGGTTCCCCTTACAAGCGCCTTAAAGAGCAAGATTTTGACCCTTACTGGTCAATACGGTACTGGCAGGGATACATTGCGTTGTTTGGCTTTGGCTGTTGCCGATAGCCCTATGCGTCCCGATGAAATGGATTTGGGCGACTCTACTAAATTCTATCAATATGAGGTTAATTTAACTTTCATTGGCGTTGTAGGCATGTTGGATCCCCCACGTAAAGAAGTATTCGATTCGATTGTTCGTTGCCGCGCTGCTGGTATCCGCGTTATTGTTATCACTGGTGACAACAAGGCCACCGCCGAAGCTATCTGCCGTCGTATTGGCGTGTTTACTGAAGACGAAGATACTTATGGAAAATCTTATTCAGGTCGTGAATTCGACGACTTGCCACCTTCAGAACAGAAGGCTGCTTGCGCCAGAGCCCGTTTATTCTCCCGTGTAGAGCCCCAGCACAAATCCAAAATTGTTGAATATTTGCAAAGCATGAATGAAATCTCCGCGATGACAGGTGATGGTGTAAATGATGCGCCTGCTTTGAAGAAGGCCGAAATCGGTATCGCTATGGGTTCTGGTACTGCGGTCGCCAAATCTGCTGCTGAGATGGTATTGGCTGACGATAACTTTTCCTCCATTGTGGCTGCCGTTGAGGAAGGTCGCGCCATCTACAACAACATGAAACAATTTATCCGCTATTTGATCTCATCCAACATTGGTGAAGTAGTTTCTATTTTCTTGACTGCTGCTCTTGGCCTTCCTGAGGCTTTGATTCCAGTACAGCTATTGTGGGTCAATTTGGTAAGTTTTAGAAAATTGTCTGGCCGAAGATGCTTTAAAAGTTAAAAACGTGTTTTATGCGCAGGTTACTGATGGTCTACCGGCTACTGCTCTTGGTTTTAATCCACCTGATTTAGATATTATGGAGAAACCACCACGTAAAGCCGATGAAGGTCTGATTTCCGGCTGGTTGTTCTTCCGGTAAGTCAAATCAATTTCTTACATTTAATGCTTACAATTTATTATTGTCGAAGCTTTTTATAAATACTGAATGCGATGCTTGTAATCCAAAATCCATTAGTTACTTACTTAGTTCTTCGTTAAAAGACAACATTTTTATACGATTTTCACTTCAAATGGGTAAAGCGTGTTTAGTTCAGTTATTAAAATCACCTTAGAATTGCACGTAACTGATTAGCTCTTAAGACAATTAATTCTTCAAGGGCAACCTTCATCAGATGGCGGATTACATGTCACATCCGTCCGATACACCGAGCCAAAGATATCCAGCTCTTCTATTTTTTCTATAAGAAGAAAACGGGCACTTTCTAAAAAGAACTCATAGCCGATGAAATAATTGCCAAAAACCGCCCTTTTTGATCCTATTAGATGCGGTATAAAGAAGTATTAAGCACATGATGAAGAATACGCGGCAACTTGCAATTTTCCGCAATATATTCCATTGTCCGCATATGATAGCGAGTGTATATATCACGTCGGTGAGCATGATATCTTTCGATCAGGAAATTTGATTAATTTGCAAAGACAGCTGAAGCTTATTCCGTTTCATTCCACTCTTTAATAAGTATTATTATTGTTATTATTATTATAAATTTAGCCAGAGAATAAATTCTAAGACTAAAGTCTTTTAAGCACTAGCATCTAGGGCTATCGGCTTTTATTAAAAACTCTACCGCACTTGAGGTTTGAACCCACGACTATTGAGTTGCTAGTCGAGACTCTTGCCTACTCGGCCACTCAGGCGGATCTTTTAATAAGTAGAGACATAAACAAGTAGGAAAACTATATTCGGCCACGACCGAATCTTTTTTATACCCACCACGGTTCGATACTGGCCAATCATATGTAGACGTTATGTCGTGTCTGAAGCTTCTTCACGGGTTCTGCAAATGTTTTGATAAAGACATGAAATTTCATTATTCTACAGTAGGCCCTCCGATTTGTTTGCATCCCTGTGCAGAATACAAATGCAAATTATTTATCGGTGTATCTGTTGTGGTTCATAAGTAACGGCCAGCAAAGCGCGTTGTTTTATTTTTAAAAACACGAGTGATCTAAGATAATATTGGGTTACTTTGGACGTGCATTTGGCTCAATATGTGCAAGAACTTTCGAGCTTTGAGCCAGTTGACGCTGCATTTTTGCAAGCAGGACAATGTTTACCACAGACATTATACAGGCGAACGGACAGGCTTAAGTCGATTCGGAGCTTGATGCTCAGCCAGAATATATTGATTTTATGCGATCTCTGAGGTTTTTTGCTGGACATTGCGAAAATTTTTACAAAATGAATATGCACCACTTTCTTCGGCAATGGGTATAAAAAGAAATTAAACGGATCTTCTATATAACCGTAAAAATCACATAAAAAATACAAATAGAAATGTACGAAGATTTGCGTTCCAAGTTAATTGATGTACTTTGGAGAAAGACGAATTATGGGTTTTACGTATTTGCAACTGTAACAGTATTTTTAAAAATTGTGAGACTCTTAAGCGAAGAAGAACCAAATGTAGCGATAAGTCATTCTGTTGTATTTTAGTTATATGGCCATTGGTGGTTATGTTGGTGCTGCTACCGTCGGTTCTGCTGCTTGGTGGTTCGTATTCTGTGACGATGGTCCTAAATTGTCCTACTGGCAATTAACTCATCATTTGTCTTGCTTGGGCGGCGGCGAAGAATTCAAAGGTGTTGATTGTAAAATCTTCAGTGATCCACATGCTATGACCATGGCATTATCTGTATTGGTAACCATTGAAATGCTTAACGCCATGAACAGGTAAATTCTATGGAAAATGAAACGCAAATGTTAGAATTTATCATCACATCATTAACGCTTTACATTGGCGTTTTTGCGATAATTTTGCCTTAATATCACAATTTATTATTATTACAGCTTGTCAGAAAATCAGTCGTTGATTACAATGCCACCATGGTCTAATATGTGGTTAATTGGCTCGATGGCCTTGTCTTTCTCGTTGCACTTTGTCATCCTCTATGTCGAAGTCTTATCTGTGAGTGTACTTTTGTTATTACATATCTCATAATTTCAATTTTTTTTTTTTTTTTTTTTTTGTTTATCATAAATATTATTTGATTTACTTTTTTATATAGACTGTGTTCCAAGTAACACCTTTGTCTGGCGATGAGTGGATGACTGTGATGAAATTCTCAATTCCTGTAGTTTTATTAGATGAAACTCTTAAATTTGTCGCTAGAAAGATCGCAGACGGTGAGAGTCCCATTTATAAAATGCATGGGATTATTCTTATGTGGGCCGTATTTTTCGGCCTATTGTTTGTTCCGCACTTTTAAATTAATTAAGTCTAAAAATAATGCAGTTCGTTCTTATTTTATTATTATTATTTTTTTTTTAACAATAACAAAAAGAAAAAAGCAAAATGAAAGAAACCCTAATTAATTCAATATTTAAATTTGTTTCGTGCGCCTATACTTACCAGCTACATACACACTTTTTTACACTCACTGCTTTATACCGTATTTTACCTTATTTTTATATGTTTTTTTCTATTTCCTTCTTACCTTCATCCAAACGGAATACAAAAGCAAACCTGAAACAAAAGTTAAATAACCAAAAATCGTACACAACAAGAAGAAAACACTGCTACAAATCTACATAAATAACAAATTTACGTTTAAGACGGTTTTTTTTTCTAATATTAACGTTGTTTTTTTTTTTTTTTTTTTAAGTGATATCGTATTAATATTTAACTAATATTAAGAAAAAATCGTTGACAAGAAAGGAGTTAAACTAAAATAATGTTAACTATAAATAATTTTTCTTTTAAATTTATCATTTAATTGTATGTACGTTTGGAGTTCGTTTGAATCTCTGTTAAATTTTTTTATTGCTTCATATCATATTTAAAAAGAGTTATTGATTGCGCTATTTTAACTCCCAAGCAAGCTGTTGCTTCTGCAAAGGCTTTATTCTATTCAATTTTGCTTTACCCTTAGAAAACTCTTCTATGCGAAAGAGGCAAGTTTTTTTTTTCTTTGTAGGTCTTTTGTAGTTTGAATTTTATTTAATTTGAAAAAAAAAAAAAAAATTATTTAGCAATAAATACATTTGTAGGTAGGTATAGTTATGTTAATAGTTGATGATGATGGCAATAAGTCAAAAATTATGATCATGATTTACACTTAAAAGTTGAAAACAAAACGTATATAATAAAATCAATTAAACATTTTTTATAACAATAATAAAAAAACAAAACAATCTAATCTCATCCAAAAGCTTTATAAAATAGTCATAGAAATCAGAGAGGCTCTCTCTTTAACGATGTGGAAGATTTTTTTTTTTTTGTTCGATTTTAGATCACTATAATTAGACCTGTCTGTAATTGATTATTGTAAAATATATAGAGGACACAGCAAGAGATAGGAGGAAGCAATTTTTTTTTTTTTTTTGGGGTTTATAATTTTCCTTTCCCTTCCATGACGCGCTTATATCCGAGCGCATTCACATAAACCTCGATTTTTTCTTTTTTGTGATAAGGTGGCAATATATTTTCTATATACTTTATAACTGTGGACAATTTTTTTCAACTTTCTGTTAGAAAATCTTTTATTTAGATCTAAAAGTTCCTTTCTAGGACGCAACCAAGAGAATTCGTAATTTACTTAGTTTTCTATCTCAAATATATGTCGTCCCTTTTTTGAAACGATATGAGGCTATGAGGCTAACGGGTTTCGCCGCATAATACTGTACCATGAGTAAGTGTAATCAATGGAAAAGGCCACCTGAGTGTTCTTGACCTTTGATCTTAATGATTATTGAAATAAAACACTCAAAAGAGATAAGGAAAGTCAACGATCAGAGCAAACATAAAAGATTGCGCGCCAAAGGGTGTTGAAAAAAGGCGAATCAATGCATAACTACTACGTAATAGGTACAATTTTTGTCGTGTTCTTTTTTACACGGTTTTTCACTACATACCAATTTTATTTTATGAGAACAAGAACCACGTGAAGACAATGCACACTGAAAGTAGATCAGTGGTCCTTGTAATTTCGGTTGGATGGTAAAATCAAGTAGACTTTCTTAGGTATAGTAAATTGCAATTTCCTTTCTCGGGCATTCTTTTGATGGGGCGAACAGTTATGAAAACAATGAGTCTTCCAAAATTTCTACGGTATTAGCGATTTCTTCAGCTTTTCTCTCATGATACAATAAAATCGTGCAATTTCAAAAAATTTATATGTATCCTCATATATCATTATAAGAATAAATTTATGCCGGATCTACTTTAGAATCACAGCTGATCGTTGCATACCCTTTGAGTATCTGATCCTCTTTAGAAGTGCTTTTCCTTCGCATATACCTTAAATTATTCCTACTGTTTAACCCAATAATTTAATGGAATCTTGCAAATTTAATTTAAAAAAATTTTCCGATAGATTTTTGTTAGATCATTATTTACTTACATGACATATTTAATACAGAATGACACAAAGAGTACCTCGATTTTATAACATTAATTATAAAGAAAATCATAATAAAAAAAAATTAATTAAGTTAATACTCAAATTTACAAAAATTGATTTCCTTACATGTCCCTTGAAATTCGTTAGGTTGATGGGAGGTTATTGGAAATATCTTTTGAAAAAAAAAACGTACATGCATATGGAACTCTTGTTACCACACTAAAGGAGCATAATTATTATTATTATTATTATTTTTTTTTTGTTACTGAAAATCTATAAAAAACAACGTTCAATTTAAAAAAAAAAAAAGATATAAGGAGAACAGGATTATAGTAGATTTGTAGTAAAAGTCAGTCGGTTACCATTTTGGAGTGACTTTAACATGTATATTGAAAAATTGTTATTCAATCTTTAAAGGGTAATATCGGCAATGTGTGCAGCAAACATAGGGAAGTTTTCCAAATATTTATATAAAAAAATTTACAAAAGTTTATTAATATCCCGGGCCTTATATATGAAAGTAAAAATTCTAAAATACATAAAAAAAAATTTATCAGATTTTTCAAAAATATAATAAAGGTTTGACAACACTAGCAAAGCAGTCCCCCTTTTCGGAACAGCTTCTCCCAGTTTACCACTGCAAGCCATAATTTTGCAAAAATTCGAACATTTTTCGAAAACACGGCCCAAAATCTAGTAAGCGTGGGGAGTGTCTTCACAAAATTCTTTGAAAAAGAAATATCGCTATTTTGAATGTCTTCTTGCAAGACGTTTCTCGAGAATCGGCAAATTTTAATTTACGCTCCCCCGATGACCCTTTTTTAAAGCTGCAATTCAAATTCGAACGCCGTCAGATGAAAATTGAAAGATAGCGCTGTGTTAAACTGGAACAATAAGATCAATGCAAAATCGTGTTTTGGATATTTAGGGGATCATTGCAGCCAATAGGACCAAAACAGTAGAAGGTCACAAAGCGATATTACCTAGCACTTATGAGCCTAGTGAAGCTACAAGTTATTTTAACGAAATCCATTAGAAGGTTTATCTTGAATAGACCCTCTTTCATTGTGACGGTGTACTTCAAATTAGATAAAATCGTGTCACGTGCGTCTTACAGTAGTTAGCGAAACTAAATTGCATAATTTAAACATAAATACATCCGTACGTACGAAAGAAATGGGTTTGTTTTTCCGTTAAGGTCTAAAGAATTCCATTTTTCTTTGCTACTTACTGTGGGTAAACGTACTTACAACTTATATATATTGTGAATGTTTTTCGTTTTTTTTTTTTTTTATTTGCATTTTTTTGTGTTTGTACTCCAAACAAATCGATATCTCAATTATACATTCGGCAGGTCAAATAAATGGTGTGCCAAAATGAGCTAAGGTTTTAATCTCTTAACCAAATATTTTTTTTATATATGATAATTGACAATAGTTGCGCTTTACTATAAATATTTGTATTGAGGTTATGTGTTTTACAAACAAAACTATATTTCCTTTATGTTTTCCCAAGAAAAACAAAAAAAAAAAAAAAATTCAGTTTATTTTGGTACACTTTTGTAGTTCAACATATTAGGGTTTTCTTTACGTGCGTTTTTATTTTCATTTCGGTTTTGTATAATAGCAGTAGTATTAAATTAAAAATATTATTGTTATACATATATATATACACACACATATATGTAAAAGAAACAAACGTAACTATCGTTACACTACAATTGTGTAGGCATATGGAAAAAGAAGAAGAAGATAAAGCAAATGTAACACTTGTTAATGAAAACAAAAAAAAAAAAGTGTTTAAAATGTTGTATATGTGTATGTTGTCTTCTTTTTTCTTTTTCGTGCACTAAAATATGTTAGACAAACCGTGCATACACAATTTAGTTATCTATAATATAAAAAATACACAAAATAATAAGAACTGGAATAATAAAAAAAAACACAATATATATATATACACCAACAACAGCAACAACAACAACAACAACACATGTAAATTATTCATTAATAGTCAAAACATAAGCCTTTATTCAATAAGGCTGCAGAGAATGATAAATTAATTAAAAGAAGTTTTTAAAGTTAAACATTATATAAAGAAAAAAAAAAAACAAAAAAAAAAGAATAAATAAAATTATTAAATATTTTAAGGTAATTTTTTATGTGTTTAACAAAGCAAATAGAAAAACAGGTCGTAACTTAATTTTAATATGTTTATTTTAAATATAATTTTCACAGAGAAACACATCCATGATCAGAACTTCATAAATATAAATTCATTTAAGATTACGATGATTACTGAAGTTTAAGGAAAATAGTTAAAAAATATATTGTATCTTCAGACCATTTATCCAATGAAGATCGCGACTATCAAGCCAGTGCTCGAGAATTCAAATCTGAAGTACCGTACAGTTTTCTTTGGTCATATACTATGGTGAGTGCTCTGCCGGTAAAAGCTCTTACTGATTGAGCACACATCCAGTACGTCGCCGTCATCACCTTCCTATTTCTTTCTTTCTTATATTAAACGAAAACCATTAAAAAACCATTAAAAGAAATTTGTTAGGGATCCTTTCAAAAATTCGAAAATGTCGGAAAAGACTATCGATTGATTTTTTTTTTTTTTTTTGACTAAGAATGAGAATTTTTTACGCTATTCCAATCTTCCATAAATGTTTCGAAACTATTCTGAGGTCACTTTTCAAAACCCTCAAATGGCGGTCAATGCTTTGATTAATATAATAAAATGGTTGATCCATCACATCAGGCAGCATTTCTGAGATACAAAGAAAGAAAAAAAACATTACATGCATTTTCGCTTACTTTGCTCCTTCATCACAACAGTTGCAGGTATCTTGTAGGGGCCCATAAAATCCAAGACTTACTTCTTAATATACATCATCCTTCAGTTTTTTATTAAATTAACTGGCGAGCGAGAAGGTCATTGTAACAAAGTCTGCTGCATGTGTGCGACCACGAGTACAAAAATTAAAAATTCCCCATAATTATATGCTAAACTTTTCATTTTTTAAGTAAACGCCAGCAATTCTAGCCACCTCGGTCGCCGACCTTTCGTTTAAAATAACCCGCCTTAATGCGGACCTTTGCTTCAGATTAATGAATTCTTAATTGACGATGTCGGGTCGCTGTTCATGCTATATAAGAAGTAGCGTGTTTTTTTTTTTTTGGTGCCAATACCAATGTATGTATGTAATGTAGACTCACAACTATTCGAGACTTTCGTAGTAGAAAACAAGCATGAAAGATGTATTCGTCTTTGGCATTTTCGATACCCACCAGCTCATATAAGCATGTGAACGGATTGCATGATTGCTTAGACTTTCTCTCTCCGACATTTTATATCGACTGTAAGTTACAGTTTTTTACTCATTACAGAGTTGATTGATTGCAAGTGGATCAAGTCTATATTCCAAATCACTCACAATCAGTTGAAACGATTCATATATTTAAGATATGCCAGGTTTTGATTTTCTATCTCAAGATTTCCATTATCGTGAAATAAATAGTTTCGAAAATGGAAAGATGTCATCTAAATATCCATGAGTGAAATTCGGAAGTTCTTGCGCCTCATGCGACTGCGAGTGAGCGGGAAGCAATGTAATCTGGAAAGGGGCGTTTGTCCGTCCAAAACAGTTGTGGCTATAGTTATTGATTTTTGTATTTAATCTGCAAATTGCTTTTTTCGCCACAACTTCTTCATTTCACACATAACCTGACGATCTCCTCTTACTCTTACTCTTGAAATCTCGTATCTTTCATATCCATATTGTTGTTGTTACTGATATTAGATGAGAAATTAGTAAGAAAATAATATCAGTCTTGAACACAGAATTTTTAATGCCGAAAATTGCATTGTGGGTATATGAGCGGGATAATCACATCTTTTGTTGGGCTGTTTGTTTTTGTTTTGGATGATGTCACCAAACATTTGCTACAGATTACAAGTTGGTTAGTCCTTTGTTTGCTGTTGGCATGGCTGTGGCCACGCCATCCATTTCGAGCTTGATCTGTATATGCAGCATATATGATCCATGCCATAAGTCAGATTTCTAGCTTCATTTTTATGGCTGTTAAAATTCCAAAACTTAAAGGGCAGATACGCAGACGGAAAGTCTGAAGGAGACACAGGAGCATAAACTTTCAACCGTATCAAAATTCAGGTCTAGTTAAAAACACGTACACACATATCCTTTACAAGGAGGCTGGCGGGTATGCCAAATTTATTAAATGAAAGTGTATCCGTATTCTTTACGTGGGATTAATGAAGACTGAGATCATGTGTCGAAAGTTGGCTTCAAAACCTTAGCCCACTTTGAGAAAGCTCTTATTCTTTCTTCAGCAAGAAGTGCAATAAATAGCTTGTCCGGGGCAGTTTTCTTTTACCTAAAGAAGCTCTAGACCTAAACTTGGAAAATTTTTTTTAATTCAGGTTTATTCAGATAATTGGAAAAGTCATCGTTTGAAATAGTGAACCTACTCGTTGCTAAGATTTGGACGATGTACCTTAAATAGAAGATTTCATATTAAATGCATAAAGTCAGACGATAATTCATTATTCTCATAACATTTAGTACATAACACACATGCACATAAACACTTAGTTAAAATATATAGAAGACTTATGTATTTATCCAACCAAGACTTCAAATGAAACTCAAGCATTTTATATGTAAAAATTACGAAAAAAGAAAAAACAAAAAAAAAAAAACAAAAAAAGACGTTTAGATTGTATAGTTATCGTTTCAGTTTATTTAAATAATTTTCAGTAGAAAAGCAAACGTAAGAAAACAAATTTCTCTCTATCTCTCTCTTTTTTCAATTTGCTCCAAGAGTTGCTATCACTAACAATACATTAACCTATATTGGCTTTTTCCTTTTAATAATTTAAAACAAAAAAAAAAAAGAAAAAGAAGAGAACATGCTATCATCATTTCCGCCGATGATGGACATGTGGGCTTGAAAGCCAAAAGATTGCTGGTAAAAGCTCAAAGAATAAAAATGTTACTTAACTTTGTTAATGCAGGTAATGTTTGGTAACTTAATGAAATTACTAAACCATCTTGTTTGAGAATTTTATTGATTTTATTTTAAAACTGATTTCATCTTTTTTCTCTTTCTTGATTAATTTCCATTCTACAGTTAATCCCAACTTCCATTAAATTGCGAAAAAAAGAGAAACATAAAAAGAACTTATATAAAAAAAAAAAAAAATCTGCCCCCTTCTTCCCTGACAGTCAAGCACACTCCTGCTCTATCTTTCTCAAGCGTCAGTCAGTGTTGCTTTTAAGCACTTGTTTAAAAAGGCAATCCCTCAACCCACACCTGAATCCCCCGATGTATTTCAATTATAAAGAGATTTTATAATAATTAATTAATTAATTTAAGATGCTAGCTGCTTAAGTAATATATATATATATATATATAAAAAAAACAAAAAACAAAAAAAAACAATAAACAAAACAACAAAAACGAAATTAATCGCAGATACCAAAAATAACAAAAAAAGAAAGAGAAAGCAAACGAATATAAAAACCGCAACGGCGAACACGAATCATTATTGTTGTTATATTTTTGAAAATCATCTTTTTTTTTTTCAACAAAAATCTAAAAACATTAAATAAAAAACAAAATACAATATCATACCTCCCCCTGCACACGAAATCGCTTTAAGGTTATTATATGCAAACGATGATTTTATTTTCATTTTATTTTAGAAACAAGCAAACACACTATTAAATACCCTACACCACCTGCATCTATTCATGTAACGCCTTTTCAAAATAGGACCTTATACGGAAAGTGGGCCCAAACAGTGAAAAGATCACTGAGGTTGCTATTATTATTATTGCTATTGTTATTAATTTAGCCAGAGAAATGAAAACTCTTCGTAAGCAAAATGCAAGAGAAAAAACTCGAGCCCCTGCTAGCGAGGAACATAGATAAACGAATAGATCTTCACGATCAAGGCCAGATGAAACTACCATAAAGTGCTGGACTTACTTGTTTTTAAAAACTCGTCTAAACGAAAATCGTGTGAAGTGAAAAATAATATATAAAGACAAAATAGATATGCTAAAGATTCGATAACAACAGATATGAGATGAGAAAAAGTAATGGTGAGGTTTCCATAAAAAGAACGATCAGCATCGAGATCTATACAAGATAGAATTTTACTTCTCTCAAGTGTAGCGCTTATGATAACAATAACCATTTTACTGGAAAAATCCGATACATTCTGCTTTTTCACTTGAGATGTTGGCCACGTTTCTAATATCGTTCGCTTGCGAAAATCGTGTAAAAGTGAAATCGAGTTAAACCGAATTAAGGCACTGTAGCAATGGGATGCTTTGGTCTCTTCGGCTTTTCAATGAATAGCAAGCACATAAGCTTTTATCGGTGGTGGTTAGGGAAAAATTGTAGAAAAAAAAAAAAACAAAACAAGAGTAATATATGAGTGACTTTTAATTTAGTAATAATTGCTTTTGATCGACTCCAAAGGAAAATGCGTCTATTTCCTGCATTATTTTTTGTTGTGTTATTCATATTATACCAGAGCGAGAAGTATGGCTTTGGTCTGGTTTGGCGATTACATTTTACTTTTTACAGCTTCTACTACACACAACCCAACTCAAGTGTAGATATCAAATTAATAATAATCCCCCTATCCGTACTTAAATGGCCGCAAAGTTATTTCCCCCGCTAATTTTTTGGAATTTGAAGCCTTGAAGCCTTAAAGCCAGAAAGCCGAATTAAATAACAATTTCATTATCTTTATTTGTAAACATGTGATAATTCTTTATTCTTTTATTTTATTTTCTTCAAATTTCTCAACAAAATTTCATTTCGTGCAGTTCCCGAGGTTGTTGTCGACAAGTGGTAATGATCTGCATCATAAAAATAATAAAGTGTAAAAAACAAAAACAAACAAAAAAAGTAAATAAAATATTAAACAATACTTTGATTTCTTAAATTAAAAAGAAAAAAAAAAAAGAAACAGAAAAAGGAAAAAGGAAAAAAAAAATCAAACGACTTATTTAAGTAAAACAACCAACACTGCAGACAGACAGACAGACAGACAGACTTGTATTGTTTATCCCTTTAGTCTTACTGCTCTACACTATCCATATACTGTTACGTTTACTACTGCTACAGTTATAGTGTCCAGTAAAGGAACAACAACAACAATAAGAACAACAAGAACAACAATAACAACAACAACTGTCGAAATGTTTCCCTCGTTAAAGGTGAACGGTATTTGAATATTATTTTATGTAATAATTTATTTTTTTTTTTTTTTTAATTTTTTTTAATTTTCTTTTTTTTTTCTTTTTTGTTGTTTTTTTGTTCAAATTTTATTTTAATGTACTGTTATAAATGTGTTATAAACTGCTATAAACATATAGAAAAAATATATAGTAACGGTAGATGAAAACCATGAAAGTATATACATACATACGTATACATATATAAACTATAAACTATTTGTAAAGAAATTGTTGTTCCATTTATGTGTGTGTGCGTGTGTATGGATTTGAATGCATACATGCGCACAACAAAGCAATATCAATAGCGACAACAATTAAAAGTAAACACTTTACTTCGTAACTACACATATACGTGCATAAAAGAGATTTTTAGTGAATTTTAAGTTTAAATAAAGTATTCGCGCCAAAAAAAAAAAAAAAAAAACAAAAACAAAATAAAAACATAAATAAAAACCTAGTAATATATACCAGAGTATATAAACAAAAGCAAATAAAACCACAAAAAATATTAATAAAAATTTTAAAAAAATGTAAAAAATATTAAAAAAAAAAACACATAAACTATGTTTCATTTTAATGCGAGTCCATCTTTGACTTCTTTAATAGCGTTAGGTAAGTAGCATTAAAATAAATAAACGATGATTTAGAAAAGAAATGACATCCATTATGCTATTGACTTTATATATATATAAAGTGTACAAGCGCTCCCTATATAATATTCTCCTCTTGACAAATCGTCATTACATCAATACCATTTTCCCCTTTTTAATACTCAAAAATTAGGATTTTAGCATTCTAAAGGTCTATGCGGAAATTTTAAACTATATGGGACAATTCTTTGACCTCATTCCCGTATATAGGTTTGGATAAAAGATAATCCAGATTTTTATTTGTAATATATTGTGATAAAAATTGCTTCAGCATAACGCTTTGCTTGTCTATTGCACTAAGTTCGAATCAAATGTGTCTATTTTGCGGGCCCCTTGCGGCGCAAGAATTGTTGCGAACATCAACAGCCTTGTAATAGGGTTGCATTGCTTATGAAAAAGCTGATCCATGGTTTGCAACGCTTGCACTTGTCGACTTACACCATTTTGTATGACCTTATACCTGCACCACTTACGGGTATAATAACTTCGTACGGATGTATGATAGATTCAGAAAGACTTAGGATACACCCATCTTCTATTAAATTCTGATCTGATTCATTGCTACTATCTCTGAATCGATTTAAGCCTGCCTGCCTGTCTTGTCTGTCGCCTCAATCTCTTGTGTTTAAGCTACAGGTAGCAATTTTGAAAATATTTTGATTTGGCCTAAGGGCGAATGTTATGTTATGCGGAATGCGTGATATGGTTCTAATCGGGTTACTATTTCGACCGCTTACCATATAACAGCTTAGTGTGAAACGCTGTTGTATTAATGGTTGTACTAAACGAAGTGATGTAGGTGTAGATGTAATGATGCGATTTGGACCACTTTACTCTCTTTACATTTTTTTTTAGGCCTTTTTTTATTGATTTAAAAAGTTCCTATACAAGCAAAAAATTATTTAGAAATGTGGTTAAAAAGCTCTTTCCCCGAAGATGGTTGTCTATCAATAATATAAGTGTTTTGAAGGTTGCACGTGTTTTCTTCCAAACCATATTTTCAAGTTGGCCGCGCTTGAGCTTCCCCAATTTCTATTCGATTATTGCCAATTTTGTAACTGTAACGAATGAATATTTTTTCGTAAGTGGGCCAACACCAAAGGATCGATTACAACATATAGAAAAAGGCTTCGTATATCTTTTACCTTCTAACTTTTATTAGACCAATCGATTCAGAATCACTTTCTGAATCACTTTAAGAATCGATCTAAGCTTGTCTGCCTGCTTGCCCATGCTTGATGCTCGTTCATGCATTTTTGGGTTAATTTTGATTGGCGCACTGAAGTGCTTTGGCATCGGATCATTTTTTCGCTCACTTTTCATCTAACACTTTACTTTGTAAGGGCTTTGTAAGATAAATAACTGTATTAAGCGAGCTGATGTACGAGTATTTAACGACAGGGCTTGGCCTACTATAATGTTTTCACTTTCACTTGCTGCTTTAAACAAATGTTTTATTATAATTCTTACATTTATGCATACATTCGATATTAGACTAATGGTCCTTGTGAATGTGGTGCCTATTAGACGACTGTATGTGTATTGTGCTTCTGTAAGTAATGCGTAATCCTACTACTTACTCTTACAGATTAACGAGGAAAACACAAGGTGCTCTGATTGCTTTTTTAAGCGCAAAATTTAAGTTCGTACGAACTATGTTCAATGAATTCAACTTTAATTCTTAAATTATATTTACACTGTTCCTATATGGTTTTAATGAAATCAATTTTCATTCTCATTATCGAAATATCGCAGTATATTCACTTTGTTAGAACGTTTGCAACATTCAAAAGAAGGCTTCAACATACATATATATTCTTGATCAACACCAAATGTCGAATCCGTTTAAGTATGTCCGTCTGTCTGTCTGCGTAATGTCTGTGGTAAATATTCAGCTGGTAGTAGAAGATGGGACACCAGCTTCAAATTTGCCGGCAACGTTGAAAGGAAATCAGATGAATTTCTCTTAAAAATTTTAATGATCAAATTAAACCAAAGACACTTTGTATTGTTAGAGCTACAATGTCTCCACCTTGTTCTTTATTTATTTATTTATTTATTTATTTATTTATTTATTCCACTTATACTAGAAACTCAGCTAAACAAATAACAGTCGAGTTCAATTGGCTCTTAATGCAAAACTTATATTAATTAATAATAAAATTTAGTATAAGTACAATAAAACAAATAAGAAGAAAAAAAAAAGAAAAAGAAAAAAAAGCATGTACAGTATCAGCATAGGGACACACTTACAACCGGTACAGGACCAAATTGCAAATGAACCCCTAAACCATCGCAAACATGCATAAGCCTGGCAACCGATAATAAATTGACAATAATTCATTTTCGAAACGTAACGACTTTTTAAGGATAAAAGCTAGTTTAAATACGACATAGGTAAATCGCGCGTATTAAGCAATGTTGCTGTAATGGACTTTAAAGAGTCCGATAACGAGAATAAGTGATAGACGTCATTTAGATTCTTGCAAACGAATCTGAGCGGATTGAACAGCTCATAATTAAACTTACACTGATTAAGCTTAACCAAGATAAAGTGCCTAGAGAAGCGGTTAGGGACATTAAAGCTTATTTCACCGCGTAATGAAGGCGAGTCAATAGCACCATTTATTACTTTAATTAGAAAGGAAACGCCAAGAACAAATCTACGTTTCTCAAGAGACGGTAGGGACAGCAGAAGCAACCTATTTTCATACGGAGGAAGAGAGGCAATCGGATCCCAACCCAAATTTCTAAGGGCAAACAGCAAGAATTGCTTTTGAACAGATTCAATTGAATCTACGTAGCACCTATATGAAGGAGACCACACAACTGAGGCATACTCGAGTATGGGTCTAACCAAACACATGTACAGCCTTTTCGTAATGTAGGGATCATCAAGCTCTTTGGACCACCTTTTTATAAAACCAAGCGCGGACCTAGCTTTGCTAATCGAGAGCTCAATATGCAAGTTAAAACGTAACCTATGGTCAAATAGGACGCCTAAATCCGTAATCGAATCGACGTCCTCCAACTTATGCGAATCTATGAAATACTGAGTAATGAATGACTTTCTTCTTGAGAATGAAAGCTTCTTACATTTACTCAGATTTAGTTGCAGGAGATTCAAAGAGCACCATGCAACAAAATTATCTAAATCACCTTGAAGCTGATGTGATTGCGATTCAACAGAGAAGGAAGAAAACAGTTTCACATCATCAGCATACATTAAGATCTGGCTGGAATTAACCACCGATGGGAGATCGTTAATGTATAAACTAAATAAAATGGGACCCAAGTGACTTCCTTGAGGTACGCCAGACGTAACGGGGAATTCATCCGAGCTAATGAAGTTAAACAAAACTCTGAAGGATCTATTGTGCAGATAAGAGCTTATCCATTTCACTAAGTAGGGTGGGAAACCAGAGGCTTGGAGTTTAAAGATAAGTAGTCTATGGTTAACCAAATCAAATGCTTTGCTTAAATCAGTGTAAATAACATCTGTGCGAGAGCCACTAGAAAAAGCCTTGAAAACATGACAGGTAAACTCTAACAAGTTGGTGACTGTAGACCGCCCTTTCCGAAAGCCGTGCTGGTGCGGAGAAATATACGAATTAATGGCAAAGGCTAAATGCTGAGTCACAATACGCTCGAACAACTTGGGCAAGACACTCAACTTGGCTATGCCTCTGTAGTTCTCAACAAATTGTCTACTTCCACCTTTGTGGATAGGAATAAGGAAACTACTCTTCCAACATGAAGGGAAAACACCTGAACACAAGAACATGTTAAAAATCTTTGAGATCACACCACATAACTCAACAGCGCAAGATTTAAGTACACATGATGGAATTCCATCAGGTCCAGGCGAACAACTGTATCTGAAAAAACAAATTATAAGCATTTATGTTATTCAGGGTATGTATCAACCAGACAGAAGGATAACAGACAGACATATCTTTTATTATGCCGATCAGATCAGATTAGAATCATTTTCAAAAAAGGTCTAAGTTTGTCTGTTGTCTGTCTCCGCAGGTTGCGTTTGACATACCGTCCGCGATCTTCGGGATACTTTCACGAAATTTGATACATTAAGCTTGAGTCTTGATCTACGGGGGAATGTTATTATGTCATGCCATTTTTATGCCCTTTCCCTATATAAGGTCCCAATCAAAAAATAGGTATTGTATGAAAAGAAAATTCCAGTTTTTTTTGAAAAAATCGGTTAGTAATAGGATAGCGGCGTGCTCAACTGATGTGAAATGTGAATGTTTGACGCTTTCTACTACAAGTAAACTTTCATAGGGCAAAAGGCTCTTATTTTAAATATTTTATGACCAAAATTTATCTTCTAAACGTAATTTGATCTAAAAATGATATATTGAACGTGTGGATCACGTAAGTCTATATTTTGGATATCATCTCATATGGAGATTTCAAAGAGAGAAAAACTTCAGTATGTCAACAAAGTCCAGTTTTTATTACTTTTGTAATTCTGGAACTAATGAAAATGAATTTTGATAAATTTAAACTACGTCGGTCCATCCACTGGACCCTCTCCATTAAAAGGGCTTTTAGATAAAGCGAAGGTACAAAGGCTTGATATATTATCGCGAGAATAAATAAAGAATTGTTTAAGGTGGAGTGGCGCAGAGCTTTTAATTGTCACTTCTGCCCGACTGGAACTTTTTTACCTGTTTTTATATCAATAGTCTTTCAATGTATTATTGAATGAATCTATTTATAAATGGCTTAGCTGTATGCGGTACCTTTTGGGGTAAGAAAAATGGCTATATTAAGGAATTGATAAAAAAGGAATTGATAAAAAAAAAAAAAACAAATTTACTTTGTCGCCTTTAGAGTAGGCTGTAACTTTTCAATGAATTTAAGCCAATGTCTGATCCATAGTTCTATATATTGACGTATGATTCTCGTGAGGTGAATTTTCTTTTCCCTCGAGAAATGACTAAAAACGTCTTCGTGGAAGTTTCAAGCAAATGCAATTTCTCCCAAACTAGTCATATGGCTATGCTTCTCACACTCAAATATGCAACAATTCGGCAGACGGCCAATCATTTATATTCACCACCAAAAAAAAAAAAAGAACGAAATTCCTTTTCTTTTAATCTGAAAGTTTTTGTCGACGATAGGGATCGGAATCCGTCGTAGTCGGAGAAAGTGTCTTTGAAGTATTTTGTTGTTTATATGCAATCAACGGAGAACGTGGCGGCTTTAAGCGGCGTATGTGTATGCAGACCATATAGTTTCTCCTTGGATCTTCTTAATCTGCAAAGGGAATATCGAATAGGATTCCAAGAAGTACGCCAACTCACTGAGGAACCACGAGGGTCAGATAGCCTTAGGAGAGTTACTCAGCGCAGAATCGGTGGTTGTTGCGGAAATTATTAAGTTGGCATGGGATGGAAATATAGTAAGTAATCCAGAAAGAGAGTTTTCGTATTAAAACTTTTAGTCTTTATTACGAGGAAAGCTCTGGAGCTCCGTTTGGCGGAACTATAGCTAACCCATCAGCGGTTCACAAAAGCAGAAGATGGATGCGAAAATAATTCATTGAACATTTTGTCTCGAAATCACCAAGTTTGCATTCAAAGGAAACCCGCCAGCCCGGTTTGAGACAAAAGGTTCTAAATAATGATTGTGAATATTTCGCTTGTTAAGGTTTGTAAGGAGTATTTTTTAAATAAACTTGAATTTTACTCCTATTTCCATATCTAATAAAATCAATCATATTTCAGCGAAAATGTATGATAACCTTTCCGCTGGAGGTCAATATGATGTTTGTAATCTGTATAATCCGAAATTTGATTGCTTTTTTTCCTTTCCTTTTCACGCCACCATTCTTCGAGCAAACGTCCTCAATTAGATGTCATTGCTCTCAAACGAACATATCCCCTTGTTACATAAGTTTAACCATGTCGAGATAGTTGACAATTCGGTCATGTATGACTTTTGAAAAATATATATTTTTACGTTTTCCGCAGGTCTATTGCTCGCCCGTAGTTAGGATGATTTTGAAAATCCTTAACCTGTACAGCGTCTGTGTTCGCTTCAAAGAACCAAAGAACCAAATAGGAAGTAAGACATAGTTAAGTTGTAAGAAAAGCCGACTCGCTTCAAAAATCGATCAGGACGATAATCACCTATGAAATGCTTGGCTGTTGCTTTTGTTTTCTATTCCGGTTTTTAGTAAAAAAGGATTGAATACAAAAGCGAAAGCTAACCTCCAGCGTTGAAGCTTGGAAACATAATCATCATCAGAAGACTCAATATTTTTAAAGTATTTGACGTTTTCTAAATTTTTCATTTCTATTATTTGGAGATTTAGTAAGTCTTTGGCATTCGCCCTTCAGTAACGATTAACACGTTTTGGCGTAGGCTTGTTCGCCACATTATGGTAAATATTGGACTCGAACTTAGAGTCGAATAATTCCAACATTTTGTAACAAGTAACCTGTACGCTGGGGTACTGCATTATATTTGACATCAGTATTGGTCTGACATGATGATACCGTCGTCGAGATGGAAGAAAAAAGAGAGATATGGGAAGATTACATTCATCAATTATTTGCAGATGACATCCGATCTGTAGACTTTGAAGCTGATGATAAGCAGTTTATCCATTACGAAAAATGAAATAAGAAGAGGTATAAAAAGTTTCAAAAAAAAAAACAAGGCCGTGGATAACGATGAAATACCGACTGTAGATATCCTACATTATTATTTATTGAATAAATTATTTCATTATTATTCATCAAAACGATGCCAGGAGACGCCAAAATTTTTGAATTATGTTCCTAATGAATTAGGTTCCGAAAATATTCCAAAGAATGATTCAGCAAAGCCTCTATGGTAAATTCGAATCATTACTTGGCCGTACTGAATGTGGTTTCTGGGAAGGAGCGGGCACCAGACAAACTTTGTTTTGCATTCAGGTCTTAGTCCACAACTGTAGAGGTGTGCATATGTGTTTTGGGAAGAAGCGGGCATCAGATAAATTTTGTTCTACCTTCAGGCTCTTGTCCCCAACTGTAGAGGTGTATATAAAGGCGTTTTTCTTTGTTTCATAGATTAAGGAAAAGCGAGTGACAAAATACAGCTTATATAAATCAACAGATATCCTGAAAGGTTCTAGCATTGACGGAAAAGATATGCGCTGCACAAAAATTTCTGCTGGAGACAAACAGCAGAGATCCGTTATTATGATGTCAGGACAAATTATATTCCTATAAACAGAGAGGTTCGCCAACGATGCATTTTGTCTCTTTTTCTCTTTAAGGCCTGATCTGAGGTAATCTTTCAAGAAGCTATTTAAACGATCGAAGCAGGCATTAAAGTCAATGGGCAATTCATCTTTAACGGATACATCAGCAGCGAAATGCGGACGACGCAACTGTCCTGGCAGATAATATGCAGGATCTGCAAACGATGGATTCTCAAGTCTATATACCTTGAATCTTTGTTGCGCAAAAACAGGGACGGGCAGACACGCGGAAATAAAGGGAAGAATAGAAATGGGTCGGTCAGCGTACACGAAATAATAGAAAATTCTAGCATGAAATTCTTCGTATGTTCGGTGGTCTTGTGTGGTCCAGAATCATGGATATGAAAAATCACTACGGACTGGAAGCCTTTGAGGTTTGGTGCTATCGTAAAATCCCAAAAATGTCGTGTGCAAATCGCGTATCCGACATTCAAGTTCTGAGAAGAATAAGCTTTTGTCGTGAACTATGAAGTATTAAAAAAGGCAAAACTGCGCCTTTTGGACATATGGTGCGTGGAAGAAAAACATGAACTCCTACCGTTAATAGGGGAAGGACGTACAGGCTTGGGCGGAAAATAAATGTCGTGGCTGCGTAATGTTCGGACTGAGAAACCTCGGTGAAATTATATACACAGCACGGAGCCGAGACGACTTTTGGGCTTTACTTAGCACTACAATTTAGGCAATAATTAATTGAAAAAAAAATGTGATCGCCTATATCCAGAAGGGGATGCGTAGTAAACGAGAAAGACTCGTCTGACACAGTTTAGTTTCATTTTCTGTTTAATTTTTTACGTCAATATTACGACGACAAATAAAATTATTTATGTGTGCAATGAAATTTGCTGGATAAACGATGCTCTCTCCAAACAGAGGGAATCGACTTTTTTAAGCATTTATGTGTGAAATGTTTACAGTGAAAAATATGCTTTCAACTCGCGCGGCCGACCAACGTATACACATATTTTGTCTATTTAGGCTAACGAGAGATACGCATCATATATGTATGATATATATATATATATATATATATATATATATGTATGTGTGCATTTAACGGTCTATTAAAAATAAATATGATCCCAATACGAATGCAAATCGCTCCAATCGTTTGACGTATTTAGAATCCGTCCGTTTTTATACATTTATTTTTAAGAAGTGAAAATTTGTATTTACGCGCATATAAGTTCGCCCAATGTACAATTTGCCTTGCAAGGTCATACAGTAAATTAGAAAATAGAAAATAGAAAAACGACTCAAGATTGTTTCCTTAGGAATTTGTTTTTATTTTCATTTATTTTTTTCTTAATACTCTTATAAAAACATTAAAATAAATTAAATAAACTAAAGTATGTTATTACAGCCACCACTTTAGGTGCTGTACTGGTCTTATCGGTACTAGCAGTGCGCCTCATAGCGATGTACATGTCGACAATCTATTACAATTATGATTGCAAGGTCATGTTATCTTTTCTGTCTATCCTTCCGTTTGTCTATTCACCTATTTACTTGTCTATGCTTTTCCTTTTCCACTCAGCCATATAGATGTTCATCTATTCACCACCCCCAGCATGAGGAATACTTTTCCATTTTTCTAGTTATCCATGACATTAGTCACCTGTTCACCTTATACCCGCTTGTGGTTTTATTTATGAACTTTTCATAGATTAATATCGCAATTTATACATTCATCTGTGAAAATGTCCACATTTCGATCTTATATATTGGGCCCCATTTATTTCCTCATCTATGCATCCTTCCCATTGCTCATCTGTGCCTGTCACTGTCGTCCATGCATTTGTCTGTTCCTTTCTCTACCCTTTTCCTCTCATCTCGAGAAAAGTTCGTCGTTCATTTATCCACCTGCGTTTTTGACGACATTTCTGATCGTGTTGCTCTTATACCTTTCCATGACCATACGTTCGTTCATTCATCCAACTGTCCGTATTTATTATTATTGGTCTGATAATCAACTAACTATTCAAAATAGAGTAGAGTGCTACAAGTACCACTTGAATATCACAGCAACAAACACGCCCACAATAGTCAAAATGACACAAAAAAGAAAGGAAGTAGCATACGGGAAAAAAGTGATCGTTTCGGTACGTCTTCGTTGATTACTTATGGATTCTAAAGGAAAGTTAAATAAGCGGCGTCTTACAAGTCATGACTTTAGATGATTGCGGTGGACATTTCCAACATTCGCTTTAAATAAATTCAATTTTCTTAATTATTTACTTATAAGTACTTTGACTAATTTTTGATTAATTTTTGGTTAATTTACAAAAACAATATTACTTTTAGTTACGGTTATAAACACATTATACACATTATATCCACATATATATGTACATACATATGAAAATCGAAATTTATATACAACGAAAATAGTTGAGATTTAAAATTTAAGAGAGAAGAGAACAAAGCAAAAGGAAAAGAAGTGTTCTTTAAAAACCTTTCAAAACATTATCCTCGCCAGAGATGATATCAAAAGGAGAGAAAACGATTCGAAAGAGATTAGCGCATCTGCCGAAGAAACAACATCAACGTTTATATTGTACGGCAAGCCATCAAATTTTATACTGCACACGAACTTATCTTCATCTTCATCGATGTTTTGAACGACTGCTCCCGCAATTGCATCATAATAGCCGTTATCTAATTTAGTAACATTTATTGGCGTCGTATGTATTAACACTTCATCATCAGGGCTAGAAGAAGAGTAAAAATCAATTTGAAAAAATTGTATTGAATTTACGTTTGCAATGAATGAACTCAGTGAACTTACTCGAACGATATAATGGGTTCAGGATAAATATTATGAACACTGCATTCCAGATGCGTTTCATTTTGCACTTGAACATGATCAAAATGGATGGTAAAGTTGCTAACATCAACAATATTTAACTCTTCCTCCTTAAATTTCGAATCGTTCTCAGTTTGCACCAAGCATTTGTAAACACCGTCCAGTTCAATCGAAGGGTTTATTAGTGTAAGGCCTCGATATTGGTGATTTGGCTCCGTAGACGTTTCCACAATTTCGCCCACATGATCGCGGAACCATGGCTGAAAGTAGATTTTACTTATTTTGTATGACCTTAGTTTAGACTAACAGTTTCTTTATTTTAAATATTTCGTACAAATAAATACAATCAAATCCGTTAGAGCATCTCATATGGCCGGAAGATGTTAGACGATCTTTTGAATCTGATATCAGTCAGTGTTGAGGATTATATATCACTTTATTTTAGGCGTGATCGAGTTTTTGCAGAGGCGGGCGATATAAATTAGTTTTGTGGCTCTGCTTTCAATGTGCAGAGAACGTCATGCCCGCGAGAGATCACGCAGGCCGTTTTACCATATAAAGGTTCAATTTCCGTAGGAGCGATTGTATAGCAAGGGGTTCAAAAAGTTGTCCCCTCCGATCCAAAGTTTCCACACTCATTCAGAATGTCGAAATACTATTCCTAAGCAGCTTTTGTCGCGAAATTCTAAAACTTACGATATTTGTTCTTATAATAGATAATAGCAACCTGTAGGTTCAGGACAAAAGCACGTGGACACATATCAAATGCACCGACGGGCACACAAGCTTAGATCGATTCGGAAAACAATTCGACTGACTCGATCGGTATAATCGGTGCAATAAAAGGTGGATCCACCACAAGCGCTTCTGGGTGTTACATCCATCCGCAAAACCTTATCATAATTAATGACCGCACCGGTACCGTATGTGCGGTTAAAATGTCTTTAAATGAAATCCGGAATAGCAATATGACAGTGCGACATTTGTGCTACGTAGGTTTAACTTTTGGACCTCTTGCCGTATAAAAGTCTCATAAAAGCTAGTGTGAAGTCAAGAATTATCTTAAGCGATAGTAGGCAAGTTCTGGCCGAATATAACGTTTTCATTTGTTCAGTTATCGTGCGCGAATCGGGATTTTAAAATTTTGTCAACGCTTGTCAAACAAAAAGACAAGTAAGAATGAATGGACAAACGAAGTCGACGTTTGCCCACAATTAAAGCAAATATACATATGTCGTGAAATTTTTAGTACGACTTGCGGGGTTTTAATTAAAATGGAAACCTTAGCATAGCTTATATGTATTAGAGACGAAATAATATTTATTTTATAAATTTTCTTACGCGTACTTACAACGACTGACGGTTTTTGCCCCCTAATCCATTGATATATGGCATTGTTATTCATAAACCATTTAACAACCAGATATGTGGGATTATCTTCTAGCTCGTATTCACAATCCAAGTTAATGACATCGTCACTCTCATCATCATCACCTATGACCACCATGTGCGGAACATCTATATCATGTAAGGTAATACTGTGTGCAGCTGAAACAAGACAAAACAAAACGCAACAATAAGAAACAAATAAGAAAAACTTACATCGCTTTCCCTCCATTACAATACATTTTTCCAAGCAGAACCGAAGACCTCCACATAAACAATTGAAATTTGTTTTTAAAGAGGCAATCAGTTCGCTTCCTCGTATATATATATCTTATTACTTAAATTTTTTTTATGAAGAAAAATTTCTGGTTTTAATAGATATATTTTCGTGGTCGTTTAAGTTTTGATCCTTTTCGAAATTTCATCTAACATTTCAGTTAAGAATTTCAATAAATAATCAAAGTCAATGTATAAAGAAATAGTTACCCGTTTTTCGAAGAGAAGGTTGTATTTTTGTCTATGCATAAACTATCTACATGTGTGCTGTAGCGTACCCAAGGTTGCCCACATTGGCATCTATCATTTCATACACATACTTTTATACCCGTCGCCGAAGGGCATTTTTGCTCTCTCTCTACCTATGCAAGGATTAAACTTGTGCTTTGGTCTTTATACGAGCAAAATTTAAACAAATGATTGCCTTAAAGCGTATTTTTGGAAAGCGTTTCTGATGCGTGATTTTAAATGGATTCAAAGTTCAAATGGTTTTTAAATTTCTCTAAATAATGTCGATGCTCTATTTCGATCATTCTAGACCTATGAAATAAAAATACGTATATTATAACAACCCAAACCCCAGTATCTTAAAAGAAAGCCAGACTCACTAGCCAAATTAGCTTCGATGTAGAACTTTTGTAATCCGTAACTTTAAATGACTTCGACTTTACTTAGGTTAATCTTTAGTACCCCACAGATCCATTTGGTGATCACTGTTGTCTTATCGGTTTGTGAAACCGAACCATTTCGACGCTACGTTATTTAGATTAGTATCAGAGGTTTGGTCCCTTGGCGACGTAGTGTTCTATTGATTACGCTCCGAATTTCAAATTCAATTTTTTAATGGTCCCAGCGAGTATTTAGCTCTGTGTGCTAGGTGTGGACAGTAAAACTGTTATAAGAAATATGATAATAGCCAGATTGGAGACACTTCGAAGCATAATTTTTATTGTATTTTAAATTTTAGTGACTTAGAAGTGGGCATGGATGAATCGACAAAAAACTTTAGTCTGCTCAAGTACATATCAAACTGACAGACAGACGGCCAGACGCATATAGTTAAACAAATATCGTGTAACTCATTCCAACGTTTTTTGGGATGTCAAAGTGAGGATATACTAAATGTCTATCTGCCAGCGTGTCGGCTGGCAATCGGAAGTTGGAACATTCGCTGTCGCAAGGGTAGGAGCGATTTTAAGTTTGCATATAAGTCCTCCGCTTACTCTTGCAATAGACCTAAGTATGTATTTACTGTCTATAACAGACATGACTGACATGAGACATGAGACACAATTTCAGTGCGAAAAAGTCGTGATCAACTCACAAATACGACGAGTGAACGTAAAACTACAATTTGCAATACGTAACAGATATCGGCTTTAAACTATGTACAAATGTTTTGCTAAAATCTGCAGGAAGTGGATATAACTGTTCTTCTGGTCGATCAATTATTTAACTCTTACTGTTGCCAATTAATTTTTGATCTCTTGTGTAATGTTAAGAGATTTCCTTTTTATTAACTCAATCGCTTTAAAATTACCCCACGGATCGACTTAAGCCCGTTTGTCGGTGTGTGTAAGTTGAAACTAAAAATCTATAAAGTGAAGAAGTTTGACACATTTTGACCCAAGGCTAAAACCTATTTAACATGAGTTCTGCGTAGCCAAGCAGCTGAGAAGTGCGTGTACCAAGTCGGGTCAAGACTATATTCTAAATAACGCTTTGCAGCTGTGCTTAATTCTTTAGTATGTTGTGATGAAAATACTAATGCAGGGCTTTTTAACGCTTGCCCTTGCCCGCCTCCACTGTCTTGATTTGTTTTTGATATGATTTTGTCTTAGAGTCGTAATTTATTCCTGCAACTTTCTGATGTCAAGGTGTATTAAGTTTGTCGGGACTTATGCAGTAACCAAAAAGACTTGACGCCGACCCAAATTTATTAAACCGATTTAAACTCTTCTGTCTGCCTTGTTCTCTTTTGTTCGACATCAGGTAGCATTTTTTGAGATATTTTGATGAAATATGCTATACCGACACGTTGTGGTCCAAGGATGAAACTATACTGAAAATGATTGCGATCGGACCACTTTTTCGACCGCTTCTCATACGAAACCTTACTTTGAAAGAACGTCGTATGAATAACTATTATATGGATAAGTAGAGTGCCGGGCTTTCCTTGAGTTTTGGGAAAATTATCATTGGCGACAATATCCAAAGAGGGATAAGAGACGACGCTATAAGTGCGAGCGAGCAACTAAAATAAAACCTAATGCCAACGAAAATAATTGGGTTGATAAACAGCCGCACAGACGTGGTGGAAGACATGATACCGAAGTTTTTTCACTAACTTCATGCAATGGTTAACGGCCTGTTTGAGCAGCAGAGATTTTATTCTTACGACTACTCGCAGAATTAACTCCGTTCGTGAAATGACGAATTTTTTTCAAGTGCCGCCAGACATATCAGAACAATAATGAATAATATTTTTAGTAAATTTCAAAAATCTTATATACAAATGGCACAAAATTAATTTATATTGCAAACATAAACACACAAATTTGTCCTTGAGGGCGATAAGGGTGTAGTAATGAAAACACTTAACAAGTAACCTTTGATCGGAATATGATTCAAGAAGAAATGCATGTGCGATATTTGTTGTAGGAAAAGAGGAAAATTGTGCAGGAAAGCAAACGATATATACATTAATCCACCCAAAAGCACGAAAACACACAGGCGCACACATATTTTTTACTTTCATGCATTTTAAACAATTTGAAGAAAAATTTTTCAAGATTTTCTACGATGAAATCATTTTCAATTTATTTCACTTTATTTAAATATATTTAAAAAAATTGTTTTTTTTTTTTGTTTGTTTTTACCTTGAAATAAAATGACACTCAAGCTAAACGTTAATATTATGAAAAACTTCATAACTAAAGGCAAAAATTCGATGATTCAAAAAGTAAAACAGTCACAACTGTTCACGCATGCACACACGCACATTTAAAAGACACGATGACCATTAACAATCCAAAAAGTATATATATAAATATATATATATATATATAGAATATTTTTTTTTTTTTTTTTTTTAATATTTGGAAATATTTATAGTGTTTAAAAAGAGCACTAACAGCAACAACGATTAAGAAACGGTTTGTGCAAAAGTTAAGTAAAGTAAAGACGCAAAACACAACAAATTGATAATAAAAAAAACGAAAAAAAAAGAAGTAAAATTCACAAAATTTGAAAATTTTCACCAAGACTTTTTACAAGACACTGAACCGTACCGTTTGTAGAAAAATGTGAACTACCGCCAACAACTGAGCAAAAATTGCCCGATCGTGTTGAGTGTAATTTATGTATAAAAATAACGTACACTTCGTTCCAATTGGTTGCGCCCGGCCACTAAAACAGTGTAGCAAACGATTGCTCGTCGTCGACCAAGCGCCATAGCATAATAAACGTTTTCAAGCATGTGGCCGAAACAACTCATACGGCAACAACACACTATATAAACGTCAATAGAACTAACAGCATAAACCATTTGTTTATTTATCCTTTGCTTCAAAAAGTCTAACTATGTGTATATATGTACAAGTATATATATATATATATGTAGGTGAAATAATAGCGAAATAGAGATCGCGTGTATAAAATTTCACTCATTTTACCATCGCGTACCGATATTTAAATTCATTCAGGTGTTTTCTCTCCCCCTTTAGAGATAGGAAGCAAAACGAAAGAAGGGAAATAGATATGAGTTAATTATTTTTATTGTACATACTTATTTACACACACATACATATTACACATATGTGATGCGTTAGTTACGGTTTGTTTATCTTTTCCTCTGCACATCTGAGCGCAGTTCGTTAATTTTTCTTCTTCACCTGTAATTCGTTATAATCTTTCTAGCCTCGCTTATAAAAACACTTGTAGGTATATTGACAAATGTTATATACAAAAGGCAACGCGATCTCATCAAAAAGTATCGGGATTGATTAATCTTATCCATGCACTTACGCTACTAATATTGCACAAAAATTAACGGGATTGCGTTCAAAGTTCTCCAACCCATCCAATCTATAGTATTTGCTCTTTAAACGACAGTACCCGGGATCTATTAAACCAGTGCACATGTACTCACATAGTCTCCATGAAAAAGAGTTTTTTGCTTAAACTAAGTGATATGCGTCGATTTTAATGGGGCATCTGCATCTGAACAAAAAGTAACGAGAATTTTTGGAAAACAAATGAAAACTAACTTAAAACGTATCAAAGACGTACTACAATCACTCCCTCAACAAGTAATAAGACAAGATCCAGTGGTTTCATAACAAAACTATCGAAAATTAATATAGTGTTTCTCGTAAACCATTAAAACATAGTAAAAATTAAATTGGAATTTGAAGCAAAAGTCCCGGGAATTGTCAAAAATAGATAAGAACTGCTTAAAGCATTTAACAGATATGCTCCTATGTATTTTATATACAATACGTATGTATATCAAAAAAAAAATGATCGAAAAATATTAATAAGAAAAATACTAATCTGTTCAAATAGTACACGGTTTGATACCATGGAAGTTTACAGATGAAAGCCTATATACAGTATGTATATGCATATATATTTTTTGAAGAGAAAAGGCAAGGCAACCAGTCAAGATACCAGTCATACATCTAAGCAATGCGAATTGATCGAAAAGTGCGAGAAAGCTGATCAAGTTGTATAACCACCATCGAAGGATAAGTCGTATATATATTCATTTTGCCAACGCCCAGAAAAAAGCTTCAAAAACCACGTAAACTATATATAAATTCTTGTCCAGCTTCGAACTAGAAAAGCAACCAGGTCTGTGCGTCTGTCCAACTATGTAGAATCAGTGATACATATACAAGAATGAAGATAGCGCAAAAGAGTTTGAAAATGGCTAAATAAGTCAAAGAGCACACCTCTGACGTCCACTAGCCCGTGCAACCAAAATTGAGAAGAACCTTGCCTTCCGTATCTTTTGCGCGTTGCTCATAATGTACAACAGATACACTATATAAATTTCCACAAAATTATTCTACAAAACTGAAAAAAAATCAACCGCATCTACCCAATAATAAATTTACATTCTTCTCTTTTTTAATCTTTTATAGCACAACCGTGATGAGTTTAAAAGATTCGGTCGGAGCTGAATATAATTTTCTTACTCCGAAAGCATTTTAGCCTACAGTCGTGCCAAAAGTTTCACAACTTCACAACAAATGTCACCTGACAATTATAATTCAGTTTGTGCCTGTCATTTGAAATGGCACTGTTCTCCCACTCCTTTCCACTCTTTCTTTTTTTTTGTTGATTCGAAATAGGTCCTTTCAATCAAAATGAACATTGACGATACCTAATAAGAACCAGCTCGATCTGCAATTATTTCTTTTCAAGTATTAACTTTAGGTAAAATCTATATCAAATATTATTTATTTATCTACATTTCTTTTTTTTTTTTTACAAGAGAACAATGGTGTCGAGTATGCAATTGCAACAAAGCCAACAAAAATGTTTGATTACCACAAAAATCAGCTCAATCGATTCATGAGAATCCGCGCGGAAGAATAATAAATTTTTCATTTCTCTTGGGTTCTTAAATAAGATGATTTCGAAATCTAATTGAAATCTGTAGCGTAAAGTTCAGTACAGGGGTCCTAAGGAAAACAATCTTTGTGAATTACTTTACAAAACCAAAAAAAAAAAGAAAAGAAAATGTTTAAATCCCGTTACTTTTCGATCGATTATTGTCAACTTCTGGTTGCAAATAACATACAAATTGATTAAAATATATATTAAAATACCTTTCAATTAATATAACGGAAGTGTGCTATCAATTAGTGGACTCGCGAAGCTATCTTCCTGGACTGCAATGTATGTGTATATCGCTCAGCGCACTCTCTTTTTATTATGATTCCTATAAAGTTTGCTCAGTGATTTTAGTTCTCCTAGTGACGTACCAATGACTTTTCACGTATATATTAGGTTGATGGGAATGTTTTGTCGCATCTGAAATAAAACATTTGAATGTGAATGTCTTTGATGTGTTCCTCAGCAGTCGAACGGCCGGTGCTGAGTTCTTTTGCAATTTTGAACAATGGTTAGGTGTGAGTTACTCTTTAACATGATCACCGATCTTCTTTAAGAGATCTTCACAACGAAATTTGGCAAACCATTTCGGGCAAATTCGAACATTTACATCTTCATATCTGGACGTGTCATATAAGCTTGTACAAGCCACCTCCACCCCGGAACTAACTAGTAAATGGGTATTGAAAGTAGACCCCACATCGCGAATTCTACCCATTTGCCTTGATAAGACAAGTAATATCACCCACAGATAGTAATATACGGCAGAACTTTTCGGTGAACCTATTATATGTTAGGTGTTTGCAAAAATGTTGATCACCTTTTCGCTTGAAAAAGGCGTTTATTGTGGAAGATTGGGTACAACATATATTAGTCAAGATACTTTCAATGTGGCAACGTGGCGATATCATGGTTTGGCAGCGATCCATCCACTGACCGCTTGTCAGCCAGACCATGCTGCATCGATCTGAACAAGTAGTACTTAGGAGCCGCCATGTGAGTATGCTGGGTGGAAGAAAGAACTTCCCTTTCCAGCTGCCACTCTCACAACAAGTAGCCGAAAAACGGATGGCATTTCCAGTCAACTTGTATTATCACTTTTAAACCGTTGGAAACGAAACCGCCAACTGGCATATGATGGAGTGGCATCATCATAAGCCTCTGAACGTGCTTGGTGGGCTTCCGCAGCAAATTTCTTCAAATAAATAACAAAAGTAATAAATTTGGAAGAAGAAGAATTTTGAATGCTCTAAGATTAGCGTCGGCGTCGCTTACTAAATCGATTACACTAAATGGAAAACTGTAAAAAACTGCTTTATGTAGAGAAAGAACAAAACCATCGAATTCAACCGTTAAGTGCACTGGTATTTCCCAGTTCTTCATCATTTTTACTTTTACTGAAGTCGCTGATCAAAATTTTTGCAAACACCTAATACTATATATGTATATGTTATTACTTTGAGTTTATAAACATGTCATCAAAGTTTATTGCCGTTGTTGTTGTTCTTGCAAGTGTGTTGCTAGTTTTCAGTTACTTTTCTTAAAGTCACCGAACCATTGAATTTATCTACATGGTGCGTAACATGTAGAATAAAAGAAGGGTTTAATACGGCACAACATTCGCAACATTCACTCATATCGCACAATGTCGTAAATTAAGAAAAAAAGAAAAAAAAACATTTTTAAGAAAATAAATATCGACTAAAGTTTAATCTAATTACAATTAACTTTCTTTTTTAATTGAGACATTTAACACGACATAAATGTTTGTTTGCAAACATATCCATTTATTCTATTTTCTATGTAGACTATTGGAAGGCTTCGGCTTCGCTTCTCATGCCCACTTCATTGTTTGTCACTAAATAATCGTTCAATTCATTATATTTGGAAAATTCTACTTTTATTTGTTTAACACTACAATGACCGAATACACCAAAATGGTCGGCAAGACGATACCTTTCGTTAGAAATAGGTGTGCACAAAACGTCGTTAGCTTTGGTGTTAATATGCTTTTCATAGTAATGCAAAACAACAACAACAACTGGACGCTTTCGTCCAGTCTTCCCAATTAGTATTTAGTGTTCAATATAAATAGCTTACCTGCTTGCGGCCAATCGGCCACTGGGAAGATCTGCAGGCAGGATCTGCGGCCGACTCTGTTTTGGTTAAAGTGTCGCGCGGAATATCTTTTCAAAATTATATAAAAATTTCGAAGCTTATAGAGCAAAACAATCCGTTTACATTAAATACTGGTAATAACCCTGGTGCCAACCATCCATCCATCGGTTGATAACTATTTATTAATAAACTATTGATCGGTAAAGTCCACACGATTATGTTATACATTTTCTTAAAGCAGTTTTCACTTTGAGAAATGCCAACAGAATGAATTTAAACCCCATCCATTCCATCAAATCTGAAAATTAGGAATAAAAGCTATAACAAGTTATGTAATGAAGACAGATAGGATGATTGCGTCATCGTGGTAATTCCACTAAGCGCTGTTGAAACAATCTTGCAGCCATTATCAAGAAATTTTCGATTGCTTGGAACACCAGTAAACATTGTTTCGCCCAACATGCCCCCTTCCTGCTAACTTCGTTTCAAGGCAAGAAACTTTTGTGAATTTTTCCTTTCGATAAATCAAAACGCCATTGAAAATTCTCATTAGTCTCTCAACTATACCAATCAAAAAGACGACGGCTAAGGTTTGGCATATCCATGACTTCGGATATGCCAAATACAAAAGGTGTCCAGCAATTCTAAGTGAATGATAATTCGCACAAGGCTCTGATATTTCCAGTATTTAAACGTTTAACGAGAATAGATCAACTTTCTTTTAGTACTTCGTGGGATTAAGCTGATGCCTTTTGTGTACCTTTTGCGTGTTTCGACACATTCAGGGAAATTTTTGGCTTACCTTTGTTCACCGGAACTTCTGAATACAGTTGTTTTTGAAAACTATAAGTTAATAAGGCGTGCATTCCTCTTAGTCTGTGTATCGACTGTCAACTTGACAATGGGCGTATTCGTCCCTTTGCAAGAGATATCTCACGCCAATGTTCAAAATTCCTATAGGATGTTCACAAAGTTACTAAGAGTTCTCTTGATCAATGTGGCATAACAGTTCATAAGACTCGTGATGACAATCGTCTAAATTGTTGTAATGCTTTACTCGCTATTATTTAACCCGTAGCGTAATACCTTTAACACAATCATAATAAAACAAGTCAGTGATCGCGGGTTCATATCTCAAGTGTGGTAAAGTTTCCTTTTTTCGTAGGTGTAGTGAGGGCTTTTCGCTTCTGTCTTTCTGTCTTTCCCTTTCTTCTTTTCATAAAAAAAGAGGAATATATCCCTCATTCTTCCGTGATGGATGTAAAAAACAAAATTATTACCATCTCAAGTGTTGTGTTACAAGGTGAATCATGACATATCCTATCCTATCAAAAGTAAGAGGCAAGTCCTTTGCCACAAGCAGTGTAAAATAGTGCAAGCCGCCATATTTTCTTAGATAGACCCACTGTGCGACCACGACAACCAGTAGTTTTAGTATGTTGACCACGCACACGTAAGCCCCGGTAATGTAGACAGCCACGGTGTGAGTGAATTTTTTTGAGACGTTCCAAATCTTCACGTAGCTTGGAATCGAAATTTGCCGATGTCAACTGAGTCTATTTACCATCAATAATATCCCTTTGTCTGTTTAAAAACCAGTTGGGCACTTTGTACTTTGTAGAGATTACCAGTAATCGTAACGATTTTCTCTACCTCCTCTTCGGTACATTCATCGGCCGGTGTATTTAAATCAATTTCAGCCTTTTTAAGCGCAACGTTCGATTAACGATGTCCATAGCAGTCGTAGCTATACCGATTTCACGTCTGCCATCATATTGGCACCCATAATACGCAATATATGCCGGAATTTCTCAGGAATAACGAGCGACATTTTTGCACTTTTAGCAATGAAACTCTCAACTAAGACTTTTGTTAGGGAAAAGATATAATATCGTGTAAAATAGGATTATTTAAATTAATTGTTAATTTTGCGTTTCCTTCGCTTCCGAAAAAGAAAAAATTCAATTTTCATTCATTGGGCTTTGCCCAGAGGCCCTTCTTCCCTTTCTGAGACTATGCAGTAGCAATGATTGTAAAGATTTCAAATTTTCACACAGTGCAAGTTCGCGTTCAATTTGATTGTACGCCCACAGTATTGTAATTGTAAGTTCTATGTTATTTCGTTTATTAAAAATTATTCTTAAAAATATTATCCGAATAATTGGACGTGTAACTTTAAATTAAAAGAATAGACAGAATAGAAGAAGGAACAGATAAGACTATTAACATACTATAAACGTAGATAAAAACAGATGTGATGAGCACGATATTTATATGATACTCGCAACATGCTCCCTGTCGTCAATTTAAAGCACAATAGTATCGTTCTCATTATCATCATTGACTACTTTCTTGTTTTTTCGTATGCGAGCTGATTTAATTTTACTTAAAATTTCATAAGCCTGTTGAACTTCAATGAAACGCTGTTGGGCGGTTGCTCGTTGCGATTCATCTTTAACTGTATCGGGATGTATAGTTTTGCATAGTTTTCTATACGTTGCTGTTATTTCAGTTTGTGAAGCGGTAGCGCTAAGGCCCAACACTTTATAGGCATTACGTTCCCCGTCAACATCCATCGATTCTAATAATTCTTTCCATATTTCATACCAACCATGATGCTGCGCGTACGTGTACATGTCTTTTAAAGCTTGCTTAATATCCGTCCACCAGGCTGAAGCTAGGAAGTTTTGAAAAGCCTCATGGATTGGCACTTCGTTGCCATTCTCGTCGGTTATTGTTCCGTTGAAGTAAAAGAAACAGCCCCATAAACTGAAATAGATAAACATGGCCGTTGAGAATTTAAAGAAACGTTCACAGATCCCGCGTCTTTTCGGTGGAGTCCGTAACCATTCTTTGGAGGCATGATCGAAAACAAGAGCTGCCGCCAAACTGGTTATAAGTATGGTATACGTTTCGTCATATATAAAATATCGTATTGGATAGGCGGCGAAAGCAGCTAGCAAACAATGCCATAAAACTCCACGTTCACGACCAATATTCCCCACCGTCCATACGCCTAAGGCCACAAAAAATGGTATCAGCCAATGTAGAAAATTAAAATCCATGGCCATGTACATATCATTTGGTATGGCCATGTTGGCCAATTGACCGAACAAATACCCGATCATTATCATAAAAAGGAATCGTTTCCCCGAGTACGGGGGTTTCTTATGAGTTTGCAGCTTTTTAATAAACTCCTCAATGAAACGCGGATCCTCATTAGCGTCGCGAACGTAAGACGGTATAGTGAATATTTCGCCAAGCCAACCGATACCAAAATAACCACCCAAACTGCACCACCACAGAAACGCATGACGATCGCGATGCAAATAAAGATGATGTAAACCGAAAATGCCACCAAATAACCATAATACATAGGCGAGAAACACTGATTTCTGAGGCGGTAAGGCATTTACTTCACTATTCATTACTTTGCCATTTCTTGCCACAGTTCTATTATTATTTTTGCCCATTTTTTCTGCAATAAATAAATTTAAGATTTATATAAACTTCTTATATCAACTTGACGCGCACACACAGAAATACATAATAAATGTCTTAAGTACAAGTTGAAGAACTTTCTCTTTTTCTGTGTAATTCTTAAGTTTTTCACTCACCGCAACACATGCACCCTGAAAACCGGTATTAACCTTTAGTTATACAATTTCCTAATCATTCAAATTTAATTCAATTCTTATTTCTCAACACGAAAAACAAAAAATTAATTCCTTATTAATACCTTAAGAAGTTTTCCAAATTTCTCGTCGTACAAGCACTCTTATCAAACGTTTGGTGAATACAAGCCACACGATTAGTTTAGGCCGTGAAATAAACGTTAAATTCAGGTCACGACAGAACCGTTTCTTTCAAGAGATAACAAAGAAATGCATTCGCTCTTCTCCTAATTCTAATATAAAGATAAAAGAGACTGGAAAGAAAGCGAGAAGCAGAGAGAGAAAGAGAAAATTTAAAAGAAATTAAAGATCGTTAAACAACTGTTTACTTGCGTGCATAATTTTGTAAACGCTCTCCCTTTCTCTCGTTCTCTCTCTCTATTTCTTACTGCTACTACTGTAAGCTTTTGTTATAATCGTTCTTAAGTTTGAAATTATTCGCCTTTGAATTTCCCAATAATTTTATCTACCACCGAAGCACACTAAAAGCAATAAGTTTACTATTGCGGTTTGTAACAAGCAGAAGCGCGCATAAAGTATATGCGCATGTCCTTGATTACAATAAGACGGTGCTAGCCGTAAAAGTTTAGTATAAAATTGAACTAAAACATCTGTACCATCAATCGTGGATAATAAAACATACAATTGCCATAAACTTCGTTGCTCTATCCTCGTTATTGATTTCTGGAAAGATCCAAGTGTATCTGGTACTTAAATTTTCCAAGCAAGTTCAGAGAGGTTTTTTTCTTTTCATTAGTTTGTGACTTAAACAGGTCGGTCTAGCTTCGATTGCTCACATAGCAGTTCTTTCGTGCGGAATATGCCTTAAAGCAAATTATTTTTATTATTAATATTGTTATTAAAATTTTCTTAAACTAATGAAGCAAACTCTTAAACGGAAAGAAAAAAAGTTGAGCACTAACAGCATTGGCAAAACTCAAAAACTGATGTCATGTCATACTTGCTTTATTCTGGGCCTTGTAAAAATTCAAAGTTTCTATGAAAGAAATTTTACTATTGCCCATAAAGATTAAATGATCATCAGCACGTATGCCATACTTCCAGATTTCCTGAGTTATCCGCAAAAACTTAAATTGCTCATTTCGCTGAGGCCCTAATCTAATCTAATATGTTTTTAAGTTTTATCGTACGTTTGGATATGACGAGCCGAAGTTTGACAATATTCCGGACCAAGTGTCAGTAAACTGTTATCTAAAATCTTAAAAGAATGCAATGAAACGCTATCGTACTTACGAAAGAAGACGACTCCAATAAACGATTATGTGTAACGAATAATCGTAAAAGTTTGGAGCAATTGCTTAACTTGTAGCTATTAGAAAGCGATTGTGTTAGGAAAGCCAGTAAGCTTAATAGCTTATTAACTACGCATATTTTTAATTGTGAGGATCTCTCGTCTTCATTATCTTCCAGTAATTTTTGCAATAAACCCCAAGCATAATCAGCGACTTTGTTACGATATGATAAATAAGCTGAATTGTTTTCCAACAAACATGTCCGGACGTCATTGGGATTTTCTTCGCTGTTTCGCATGCAAGCGTCCGGTAAGATATAGAAAGTCTCTTGGCCAATTTGAGAGCGGCAGTATAAAGACCACAACTGCATAAAATCATTGTCAGTTCAGTTGAAATAGCGTTCACGATAGTCTGAACATTTTTGCGTTGACGGACCAATTATATTAGCTTCTATATGAAAACATCCACGTTCAATACGTTTAATTTCCAATACCTCGACGTGAGTGTTATGAGTCGGTTCCTATTGATCTCTGGAAATATCGTAACAATTCAGACAATGAGAACGTTTCTGCATAAACGTGTTCGAACGAAGCTTTTCTCTCATGAAATGCATAAAGAAATTCAGAAACTTCATTCTGTTCCATTGACTGTGAACGGGCTCGTGACTCGACAATATTTTCAAAGATGAGCAATTGAGGATCAGCTTCATCCAATGAATCAATTGCCGCCTCAGCTATATTAATAACATTATCTAAATAATAAATAATGTCCATCATTAAATCGTCTGCTCTACGAGAACTGGCTATTGTACAAGTATCCATCCTCCATTATCATTTGTTGCTGTATTTTGCATAATCAAAACTCGATTATAATTTGTCATGTATGCATTGCGTTGTAATGGTTGCTCTTTTCGTGTCCAATTATAAGAAGGTATTAGACACCCATATTCCAGGCATTCTAATCGAATCTCAACGCCAGTTTTAGAAAATTCTGAAAATACCTAAACATTAAACAGTTTGCAAGATTAAAACAGTCGCTTAACAAATAAGTTTACCATCGGGAATGAATTCGCGAAAATTAATGCCTGATAATTACCTAACAAATGGACAACTAGTTGATCACATTTCGCCGGGTACTCTTGCGAAGATCAAAGTCTTTTTGTACATAACACAACCACAAAAATTCAAATTATACTTCGATTAGCTGCTTTGTTTACGTCTAAAGGCCTGACACAAGCGGATTAATTAGCTCTGTCCACACTTTCGATGGATAAAAAATATCAAATCATAAAATTCTTCTCACGTTTTTCCGCACCACCTTTTAAGGTACCGTGATATGCGCGCTGCCAATTATTTTAAATGGCTGGCATTCCCTGTACGCCCACAGCCCTACAATTGATATACTTTTTTTAAAATTGTAACATAATATTTACAATAAAAATATATACATATGTATATATATATATATACCAAAAGTCGTTCCTCGTTTTGGCCTCAAGGGTTCTCCGTCTCTGGAGGGGGAGAGGGTGCTAGAGTAAGCTAGAAATTAAGTAGAACAAGTTAGGATTAAGCAAAGAGAAGTTAGAGAAAAGAGAAAGAATAGTTAGTTACGAAGAATGAGTTTTAAGCCAAGGTTCAGGAAAATTAGAAGTTAAGTTAGAGAGGAGGGTTGGTCGCGGGGTGTATTAACGGGGGGACATCTCGGTTCGGTTGGTGCGGTTAAAGTGATGGTTAAGTACGGATTGACTTGTGAAAAATTAGAGCAAAGAAAACTCATCGTGAGAAATAAATAATAAGGGATAAGGAAAATCCAAACGAATACTTTGAATAAATTCCTTGTGAAAACCTGGAGTCGCTGAGCTACCCCAGCAACAGGTTCGGGCAAAGTTTAGCCCTCACAATATATATAATGACAATATTAATTAAAACCCCAGGCAAGTTTTTTTTTTTTAAATAAAAATACTAGTATATAGCTACAATATACGCATGCGTAAATAAATATAGTATATAATATAAAATAGAATTATAATATGGATTATATAATTTCAGCCGCCTGAGTGGACGAGTAGGCAAGAGTCTCGACTAGCAAGTTCAATGGTCGTGGGTTCAAATCTCAAGTGCGGTAGAGTTTCTAATAATAATATAATAATAAAAGTCGAAAGCGTTTAGATGTAGGGCTTTTAAGACTTTAGTTTTACAATTTATTCTCTGGCTAAATTTATAAAAATAATAATAATAATATATAACATAAATATACAATATAAAAAATATACGAATAATATGGACAGACATACATAAGATAAATATACAAAAGTATATCGGTGGTGTGCAGTGTGGCAGTATGTTGTGCGATGTGTTTGTTGACAATGATCTGTATAATGGAACAATTTAGTGATTGCTGAATTTTCCTGTAAATGATGAATACACTCCAGTACGATTGGCAGAGAGAGATATCTACAGTGTGTTGTTTGCTGAGCGGTGTGCTTCTTTTGTTGGGTGGTTGGGTGTGCTGCTTGCTGATGTGTCGTTGGGCGGTATACGTCTTTTTTACGCTAAAATAAAATAAAAGTAAATCAATTAATAAAAAAAATAATAATAAATAATGATTAACACCAACTTACCATTGGCACACAGCAATGCTACCCGACGATGAGCGTCTATGGTTTGGCGGTGTGTTGAGCGGTGTGCTTCCTTCGTATTCAAAATTGGAATGAAAATACGTAAATAAATAGTAATTATATAAGGCTTTGCTGGGCGGTGCGCTGCTTATCGAAGGGCTCTCTTAAGTTTTTGCATGTGGAAAGGATAAATAAAATGTACTCAAACAAATTTATGCGGTGGCTGCTAGAGTTGGTGCAGGAACCTGCTGCCACGAGAAATTCAAGCCGCAACAGTGCTGTTGCTTAGACGCGCTTGCCGATGTTTGCCTCCACCATATGTTGCTGCATACTCGTATAGAAAATTTTATATGCTTGCTGTTATACGTGGTGCACCTCCTGTGTTGGAAAGACCGGCTTCAAGTGCTTGCTCGTGAGGGTCAAGTTGTCTCTTTTGTCCTTGGCAACTTTTCGACCGCTCACGAAGACCCGGCAGCGGTCGAATCGCACTAATCGCTGCAGCTACACACGTTATATTTTCACTTTCTAGTTCCATTTAATGAAAGATGTCCGACAGACGGACCAATAAGCACAGATAAATTGATGCAGAAATTTAGGCTGATGAAGAATATATACTTATATACCCTTCACAAACCGAAGGCTAAACATAGCGCATTTTTGATCATTTATTAGATCAATTGAAAAATCCTAACATGCTATTCCAAGTTACTTGGGTAAAAAAGAAATAAAAAAAATCATCAAGTTTTAAGATAACAACAGGCTCAGTCTCTCTCTAAAATGGCATCAGGGCACGTACGCACATGAATGTGAAGAAGCGAGAAGAATGAAATTTTAAAACGTCTTCACCCTAAATAGTGATGACTTTTATGTATACAAAAGCACTGAGGAAATTACATATGCTTGCCTGTAGTTTGGATATTTTAATTTTTTCTATTATTAACAACAGAAGCACTCAAGATCGTTGGAATGGGATATATGTACTGTTATACTAATCTTTTGTCAATTTTTTTTTTTATGTTTCCTTTATTTCCTTGATTGATTATTATTCTATATTTAAGAGGACAAACACTTACAGTTTCCAACAACTTTCAAGGTAGACTAAAACAAAATTATATTATAGTCGTGTGATAATGAAATTAGTATGAACTCTCCATTTTTTTTTTTTTACACTGATCTCTTATTCCATTGCAATCGATTGAAATAATTTCGAGGAAACATTTCGCTTTCTTAGTTAGTTAGTTTTTAACAAATAATCTCGCCGCTATTTTTTATACGTACAGGTATGTTATATAGTACATGCATATAGTACATGTACATAAGTATG